ATGCTTCCGCTTGATGTAGGGATGGGCGAATGTATGTATTCATTCATTCATTTCTTCGTTCATTCGTTCATTCATCATCTTGTTTGTTTGTTCTTTCTTTTGTTCGTTCATTCGTTCTTTTCAGTTTCGTTTATCTTCTTCTCACTTATCATCACCATCTTACAGCCATCACCGTAACGTCAATGGGTACATCTAATAATAATTTATTATAGTTTGTGATGTGAGTAAACAAGATGACAATGTTGATGACGTGTTGGAAGAAGATGATAATGATGATGACGTGTAGGAAGATGATAATGATGATGATGAATAGGAAGAAGAAGAAGAATATGATGATAATGATGATGATGATGACGTATAGGAAGATGATGATGATGATGTGTTGGAAGATGGTGATGATGATGACGACTAGGAAGATGATTATAACGATGACGCTAGTCTTGGTGGCAATTTGTTTATCACGGCCAGGACACGGAAAAAATATTGTGTTGATGATGATGACGATGATAGCGACGACGATGATGATGACGATGATGGTGATGTTGCTGATGGTGATGATGGTGATGTTGGTGATGGTGATGTTGGTGATGATGGTAATGATGGTGATGGTGATAATGGCGATGGTGATGGGGGTGATGATGGTGATGATGAAGTGACGAGAATGATGAGAATGAGAAGGATGATTTTGACAATGGTGATATAAATTAAATAAAATGAAGTGGTATGAGAGTGATCGAAAACATATAAAAAGAGAGAGAGAGAGAGAGAGAGAGAGAGAGAGAGAAAGAAAGAAAGAAAAAAAGAAAAAGAGAGAGAGAGAAAGAGAGAAAATGAAAATGTAGGGTTTTTCTTGGTGGAATGAAGTATTGATATAATTAATGTAAATGACTAGCCCATACAACTACTATTACCGTATTGAAAATGTCGATGCTGATATTGTTGACGATGTTGTTATTCGTGTTCATGCTTATAATGCCCATATCTGCTGAAGATGATGACTGTGTGTGTGTGTGTGTATTTGTTTGTGTGTGTGTGTGTGTGTGTGTGTGTGTGTGTGTGTGATAATCCAGCTCTTTTCCTTTCTTTAAATTAATCTTTTTCATTTTTTTAGGATGATAGCTCTAATTTTGATTAATCAATTTGTATGTGTGTTGCATAAGATGATGTATTTTCGATATTTGATGTGGTATTTGTTGTTAATAAATTTAATGTAATTAGTAATGTAATACACGTGCAATTCAATGAATTGGTCAAGCTTAATCATATTAACTAGTATTGTAGTTCATACGTGTGCGCTTGTGTGTGTGTTTGTGTGAGTGTGTGATTTAGCAAAACATGTAATTAGTATTGTCCTACATGTGTTTAACGTTATAAATTATTCAGTAATATGTGTAATTAAAGTTTTAGAACATGTGTGTGTGTGTAGTGTGCTTTTGGTAGATTTTATCATGGTATCTATACTAGAGTAACACAATAGGTCTTCACAATAGATATATCATGATACTATCATCGATATATCATGTCCCATAGTTTCGCTTCAAAGATAGATGAGATTTCTGATTAAAGCGTGGAGGACAGACCGTGTCAAATTATCATCTTCAAGGGTCGGGTCGTTTGATCGTATAAACAAACTCGTGATTAGGTAATATAAATTAGTGTTTTATATTTTCTAATGTGATTGATTTGTGATTTGATCATGAGTTTTGTGTTGTTGGATCTGTTTGATCTTAAATATTTTCAACCTTTTACGTGTTCTTGTATCAATTTTTAAGAATTAAATTTCAATTAACTAAGAAATTTAGTGATTAAATTGGAAAAAACTAACATCAAGCGAATCAGTAGCTACAGAATTTGTTTGAATTTATAGAATATAAAACCCAATAAGGTCTTTTAACAAAATTGTTCTGAATAAAAAACTTGATAATTTAAGAACCTAACACCTGAAGTATGACTTATTAAACGAAACCTCACTTTGAGCCCGAGATCATTCATATGTATACCTGGTATGTTAGATCACATTAACAATTCGATGATTTTGTTTATGCTTGCAGATGCGTTTCGTTTATGAGACTACATAACTATGGATAAGTCGGCAAGTGTGGGTATTGTTAATTAAATAATTTAATACATTATATGGATAAACGTTTTGCTGATTAAATGACTAAAAGAGTTTACTTAAGTAAGCGTCGCTGATCAAATGAGAGATTGATTCTGGAGTTGTCAATTCTCAAGTTGGAAAAAACTTTATTAAAAATTGTGCAAATGCTTCTAAACGTTTCAAAGCAAAATGAATTAGTTAAAAGCGATGACTTAAGAAAATAAAATTGAAAAACAAATACGATTGAATAGATGAATGATTGAAAAATGAATAAATAAATGAATGAAGGAATGATTGAAATAAGAAATAAATGAATAAATGGATGAATGAATGAACGAACGATGAACGAACGAACAAGCGAACTAACAGAGGGATGAAAATGTGAACAGAATGCAATTGATAGTCTTATTAGTCTTTCATGGCTCACGGGCGTGATAGTCTGAAAGAAATGATGATCACGGAATAAATGAATAAAATGAAAAAATATATATCTACATCGATGTTTGGATAAGTGAATGACAATGTAATGAACAGCAAATGTGTAAATGGATGAACGAGTGTGCGAATGAATGTACGAGTGTGTGAATGAATGAGGGTATGAATGAGGGTATGAATGAATGAATGAATGAATGAATGAATGAATGAATGAATGAATGAATGAATGAATGAATGAATGAATGAATGAATGAATGAATGAATGAATGAATGAATGAATGAATGAATGAATGAATGAATGAATGAATGAATGAATGAATGAATGAATGAATGAATGAATGAATGAATGAATGAATGAATGAATGAATGAATGAATGAATGAATGAATGAATGAATGAATGAATGAATGAATGAATGAATGAATGAATGAATGAATGAATGAATGAATGAATGAATGAATGAATGAATGAATGAATGAATGAATGAATGAATGAATGAATGAATGAATGAATGAATGAATGAATGAATGAATGAATGAATGAATGAATGAATGAATGAATGAATGAATGAATGAATGAATGAATGAATGAATGAATGAATGAATGAATGAATGAATGAATGAATGAATGAATGAATGAATGAATGAATGAATGAATGAATGAATGAATGAATGAATGAATGAATGAATGAATGAATGAATGAATGAATGAATGAATGAATGAATGAATGAATGAATGAATGAATGAATGAATGAATGAATGAATGAATGAATGAATGAATGAATGAATGAGTGTTTTGGTTGAATAAGTGTATGAGTTTGTTAATGAATGAATTAGCGAATGCCTATTGACAAATCGACAAGTGAAATATCAAAACAGGTGATTTCTATTAAAGAAAAACTAGCTAGAATTGTCCTACTTAACTCGGTTCAAAGATTTAATGTTTTTTGATAAACGTCTTTAGAAATAGTTAATATAATTGTGGCTAAAAACGCCAGTGTTGTAGCTAGAAAAACTTCCATTAATAAAAACTATTTTCTGAAAAACGAATGAGAATATGAAAAAAATTTAAAAGAATTAGAAAACAAAAATAGGAATAATCAAATTCCAGAAGGATCTTCATTACACGCTTGTTTGTTTGCGGTAGCCAATGGCCAATGCAATGCAATGCCATCAGCATACATGGTCAGTTCAATGCGATCCCATGCATAATAGGATTCTCTAAACAAATGTTTGTGTTGCTGCTACTGTTGTAGCTTGTTATGCTGTTGTTGTTGTGTTGTGTGTGTGATTATGTTCTTGTTATGTGTGAGATTATATTGTCGTTGTTTCTGTGAGAAAAAGGTTTTCGTTGTTGTGAGGTGTTTGTAATAATGTTGTGTGGTGTGAATTTGTTGCCGTTGGCGAGTAGTGCGTCGTTACCTTGTTGTTGTCGTCGTCTTGTTTTTTGATGCTCTGGTGACAATAACAGCTGTGATGATGATGTGATATAGACATCTTCCTAATGAATATTGACCGAATATCGTCATGCTGGAATCCCACCTCGCATTCAACTTATTTACTGCCTTGGTAAGAAAATGACCTTCTTATGCTACTTCTGATCTGAAACTTTCAACGATTTCTCCCATCTTTATGCCTCCAATCGATATTTCGACGCTGATTTTTTTTTATTTCGGTTTTAGTTTAATGTTTATTGCTTTTGAGGTTTCCAGTTTTAGAAAACCGTCCGAAAATTTTATAACAAATGATTGATACATCGTGCACAATTTATTACACGCCATTGAAGTAATTTCGGCCGATTAGAGGATGAGTTTGAATTATTGGAGATGGTTTGACTGATTTATGAAATGGATTAAATTTTTGCTCGCTGAAGATTTGTGAGATGCAAATTAAAATCAATTCATATTTAAGTTAAAGCAGCAATGAAAATTTGCCATAGATAGTCAAGGTGAACGTTAAAAAATTATTAAAAGGAAATATCCTAAAACCCCAATTAAGTTTCAGATGTAAACTTTTCAAAATATGTACTATGATTCATGCCAGTGTGACAAAAACACACAACACACCATAATGAACAACTTTTTTAACAAATGAACCGTCAAGTAAATTGAATTCAAATGTGTTTTAGCCTCAGCAGTAGATGGTAATAATACACACAACCCCACAAAATCAATGGTTTTGGTGCTGTTCATTTAAATCATAAGTTTCAATATTTTATTATACATATATATTTTTTTCAACGATATAAATACTTTTCATAAACTAAAACTTATAGTGAAATTTTTATATTAATTGCTGAACTAGCATCGCGCTCAGACTAAAGCAATTGCCGGCTTATGCGCTGAACAAAAAAAATTAAGATATATTGAAACGTATTATAGATTATATAGAATTCTGTTTATATAACCGTTCTGTTCATATATTTTTCGTATTCTAGTTTATTACAAATAGATCCATCACAAACACACACATACAAACGCACACACATACAAACACACACATACAAACACACACACACTTACAAACACACACACATACAAACAAACACACACATATAAACACGCATAAGATATAAGTAAATGAAATTTTAATGATAATCACCTACTGTTTAAAATGGTACCAAGCAGAACCAGCATGAAACGCTATTGATATAGAGGATGGAGTTGAAATATGAGCGTATTTTTGGAGCGCCTTGCTGATCTATGCATGGCTGGCGTGTTGGCTGCAGCTATTAAACGATGGTAAATACATATTAAGGTGCATATTTTTACGAAATATTCTTGGATGCCTTGTGCTTTGATTTCTTATTTGGTCGTCTATTCTTTGGTCATTTTTTATTTTGTTGTTTCAATAGATGGATGAAAGAAAGGAGCTCAGGACTAGCGAATCTTTTAAGGTTAAAATTTTTTTATAACGAAACTGAAAAATTTGACGGTATTGTAAGATGCTTCGACTAATTTATTTTTGAGATGGTTGTTTGATTGATTATTTTAATGAATCAATTTATAATACTACAACAAATGATTTATTCATCAGTATATTAAATATTTTTTTAATTTATCGTATTCAAATACATTTGGCTTAATATTATGTTGTCATAATCTAAGAACAAAATTTTTTTATGCAAACAACATTTTAAAATTGTTATATAAAAAGAGGAAATCACAAAAACTAAATAAATTCTTTTCCATTTTCAACTTTGCAATAGGGCATACTCTTTATACAAACAATGTAGATAAAGAAAACCCCCCAAAAAAACAACATAGAAATAAAGTAATTTAGCAACAAAAAAATCAACAAACAAAACGAAAGAAAAGAAAAAAAAACGAACAATACAGTGCATAACTCACATACGTATGTACACAGAGCCAGTCAACCGTACATGGATTTATTAAATTCCATTAGCGACAACATATCAGCTTTCTCGTCATAGGCTGTCCTTGTTATTATTATTAATATTGTTGTTGTTGTAGTTGTTGTTGTTATTATTAATATTGCTATTGTTGTTGTTATTTTATTTTTATTATATTGATTATATTTTTATCGTTGTTACTGTTTTGTTCAATTTTTTATTCTTTTTTTGTTGTTGTAGCTTGTTTTGTTGCATAATTTTGTTGTTGTTTGTATTAGTTTAAATGTACATTTTTATTTTTTTCTCATGTATTCCCCACTATTTAGTAGTCAAACTATCATTTTTTATTATTAAATAATCTTTATATTATTACTACTATTATTATTAAAACGTGTAAATCAATACAAATCAATCACTGATTTTTTTTAAGTAAAAAATGACCCTTCATCGTCGTTCTATATACAAAAATTAAATTACTTTTAAATGTATATTTTTTAATTTTTTTTTACTATTTTTTCTTTTTTGTTACTCTTATCTACTGTCACTAGTAAATAGTTTTTAAATACATTAAACGCAATTAATCATGTTATAATTTTTTTAAAAAATAAGTTTTACTCTTTTTTTGACAACATTTTGCAAAAAGATGATTACAGAAAATTTATTTTAGTTTGCTAAAAAGCATCGTTTTTCTATTGTTTGTTTAACGTTAGAAATAAAAAGTTAATGTTATATAATATTCCAATTTGAAACTTAAAAAACTTAATTTATATGCAACATCGTCTACACCCAAGAATATAAATCACAATTTTCACATATGAATATCAATGAAATTAAATTAATAAAAACGCATCAGGGAGAAGTTCTATAAAACCAACATCACCATATTCAGTACCCAACAACCAAATCATCTTTGCCAAAATTTTAAATACGCTTTGTAAATCAAGGTTTCACAATGGCATATTACGTGGGGCAGACTATCTTCTGATTTATTCTTCATAAGAAGATCTGTTTCATCTCTCACGCGCCTGAATGTGTATCTTATGTAAACACATACACTCTAAACACATACTCTAAACATATACACTGTAAACACATAAACTCTAAACACATACTCTAAACACATACACTGTAAACACATAAACTCTAAACACATACTCTAAACGCATACACTGTAAACACATAAACTCTAAACATATACGATGTAAACACATACACTCTAAATACTTACACTTTAAAAAAATACACTGTAAATAAATACAAACAAATGTGTATCTTGGTAAACTGTATGTGTTTGTGTGATGTTTATTTGTATTTACTACAAAATAAACAGAGTATCAGAGTATGTCTTTGTTTTATTAAATTATGTCAAATTATTAAGTTAATTATTGCTTAAATGTTTACATGTATCTAAGTTTGTAATTTATGTAATCATACGTGAATATTTATCTGAACTTGCGATGTTATGTTTATTTCAATCTTCACTGGTTTATGTGTAAATTTTAGTTTATTAGAATTTATTAAACTAAATTCGGTTTTAAATTGTATTGTGTTGTTATATGGTTAATTGTTCCTTATATGTGAATTTAATATATATTTTAAAATTAGAATTAATATTATTCTATTTTCATAATGTATTTTATTGCCTAATTCATTATTAAATGGAAAAAATGATTAACTTTTCATTCATAATATTTCACTTTCACTATTATTATGTAATGCATAATTCACACTCGCTTTTCACACTCGCTTTTCTAATTCTGGCCAGCATGCTGTATGATTTTTGATTTATAAAGTGTGTGTTTGGGTGGATGTAGTGGTGAAATTAATGTTCCAAATGTTCATAGGTTGAGTGGCAGAGTGGCATTCTGACGAGACTGATTGTTTGTGAAGATTTTTGTGTATTTATCTGAGCAAACATATTAGATTTTATATAAAAGTTTATAAAAACTAAAAAAAAATAAATTAAATGATTATCTTAAAAAATGCATAATTTATTTCTTATAAGTATATAAAGGATTATTTTAAATTAAACATAATTTAGAAGACTCTTATAGAAACCTTTCTTTAAATCAATTAACAAATAAAAATAGTTTAGTATCATGAATATTGGTAATAGAAACGAAAAATTAAAAAAAATTTGAATTTAAATAAAACGAAATTGAAATAATCTTTTAGAAAGCAATCCAGGCCGACTAATTTACCTACGTATAAATACAATAACGCTGAAGAAATACTCTTGACATGTTGAAATGATGTTGTATTAGAAGGCTGGCTGGAGTTTGGCGCTGAAAAAGTCTGAATAATTTGCTAGCGTTAGGCTTCAAAGATAAGTGGTATTAACGGTACGAAGGCTCTTGGTCGAGAATTTGTAATTAGGTTGTTGTTGTTGGTGTTGTTGCGTTTTTGTCGCTGTTATATTGTTGTTTCTGTATATGTTGTTGTTTCTGTATATTAGTATTTGTTGTTGTTGAATTGTTGTTGTTTGCATGTCGTTTTCGGTGTTGACGATTTGTTGTTGGTGCGAGTATTTCTATGTTTGTTTTGTTGTTAAACTGGTTTAATGTTACGTTGTAGTTGTTATGTTATTGCTGTTGTAATATTCATTAGTTGTTGAATTGTTGCTGTTATGAGGGTTTGTGGTTTTTGTGTTTTTGTTGTTGCGTAGTTATTTTCTGGTGGACGTTTTCTCTTTAATGGTTTTATTTTCATTTTTGTTTCTTTATTTTCCCATTATTTTTGTCTTTTCACGGTTGTGTATTTTTTATCATTTGCAATTTAAGACTTTCAATACTATTTGTTTTAGAGCTTTATCATTGATTATAAACTAAATAAAATCCAAAAACAAGATTAAATTATTATTTGAAATGGAAAATTAAATTAAACAATTCCAAACTAACTTTTTGAAGACAACCATTAATTTAATTGTATTCAAATTTTTTTATAATAATTTTCTTTTAAATTATTCATTTTTAAAACTCACACACACACACACACACAGACATACACATGCACACGCACACACAAACATACACACACAGAGTCACCAATGCAATCATTGCATATGAGAAAGGTTAAATCTCGAAGGTACAAAATACTTTTTGATCTATTTAAATTTGTTTACGTATTTACGCCTGTGCTGTTGACTGCCTGTTTGGGTATAGGTAGTTATCCCATCAGAGATATATAGGGTATTCAAAAGTGGGTATGATGTATTTGATATATACAACGTATGTGTGTTTGTATGTGTTTTTAAATTAATTGAATTTTTAATAAATTTTATTTTAAAATTTCATCATAACTATTAAAGTAATTTAGTCTTAATATATTAATTAATTATTGAAACTTATTTACGATAAATTTTTCACATTTATATTTTAATTTATTAGCCGACAAATTGTGGAAAGACCAATTTATCTGAGAAATCTGTTAAGAATTTGAACGTAAAAACAAACACTTTTTTAACCTTAATTTTAAATTAAAATTGGTAACCAAACGACATTTTTAAAACTTTTTTAAACAAAAATTTATGAAAATTGGAAATTTTTAAAGAGATTCTACAGAAGATTCATTGATCTATAAAGAAATTAATAGTTGACAACAAGTAGGCTGGTCATACGCAGCGCTCTTCTCTCGTTCAGTTCTTCGAGATCTTTTTGCTTGTTTTTTTTTCTTAAATTAAATCGGAAAAAATCTCGAATAAAATATAGTTAAATTTTGTTTTATTATAATAAAAAAAAGAAAAATTAATAATTAATTTTTTTCATTTAACACAAAAAAATTCATCCAAACGCCAAAATAGAAAGCATTATAACAGTCTAAAGTCTACACAAACACACACACACAACACTACACTACAAACACTTACTACAACAACAACAATAGCACACACACACACACACTCACGACAACAAACACACAGCAACACACACAGATGCGTTAAACGTAACAACACTCAAAATATAAACAAACACACCTTGATTTATTTTTCCTCTCAACTAATAAACATTCAGCAATAAATAAATTAGCTAACTAGTAGTAACTAGTTTTTTCTTTCTTAAATTTACTTACAAGCGAAGCAACATCTATTCACCTTTTAAAAAATTTATTCAAATATTAGATGTGACTCATTCGATTTAAAAAAAAACATATTCTTAAATATACACCAACACTAACGCAGCAAACACTCAAACATTATCATTGATAATAATAATTTCTTGATGTCAAATTTCACCCAAAATATTCATGCAAATGTAAAATGAGAGTATGATTGTTGTGCTCTGTCTGTATACGCGCATTTTTAAAGATATAAAAATTTGAAAGCATTTATATATTCTACCCTTTTCATCACGATAACATACAAACAAACACATTCAGCCAGACAAGAAAGCAAGCGTAGACATGTACACAAATCACATATAATCGCACTCAAAATAATGCAATAAATCAAGACTACAACTCACACACACACATACACATTAACGCAACATACATACCCGCACACGCACATCAAAAAATACACACAACACACATATAAATATTTCTATTTCTATATATATTTATCAACAGAACGTTACAAAAAAACTTATGAGAAAAAAAACACAAGAAACATCAGCACATATTAAATTTGCACACAAACATGCATCTACATATGCAATCGTAGCACACACAAACACATTTTCATAAGATGAAAAAATATCACATAAACGCATATACCCCCTACAAAATGTATACATTCGACCATTCCTACACACACAAACATATACACACACACATACACAAACACATACATACAAACACATAAAATCACGCCTATAGTAGAAACGCACACTCGCGCGGGTCAAACGAACAGACGAAACCTTATCAGACCCCCAAGTTTCATTCATATGCGACACGGAACGCATTCTTAAGATATAGTGGGACAGATTGGATTGAAAGAGAGTCCGCATAAATAAACAGTGGGATCACTAATGAATGCATCGGTCGTCGAATTATAACAAGATGACCTTTTGTATGCTAGGGTATGCGGGGTAATATATTTCCATAGATGTGCTTCTGCTGCTGCTGCAATTTTTTCTTCTTCCTCTTTCTTTTTTTGTTTTTTGGATGTTTGTATTTGTTTGGTTCTTCGGTTGTTTGCTTAGTGCTTTGTTTTTGTTTGTTTATATTTGTTTGCCTATTTTCTAGTGTTTTAGATTTTGTTTTGTTTGTTTGTTTATACTTTGTTTTGTTTGATTTTTGTCATGTTTCCTTGCATTTTATAATGAATCTTTTTCAGTTTGCGATAAGTATTTTGATGGCGATGTTGAAGAGTTTATTTTACAGTTTACAATCTTAGCTTTAGGTTGTTACAGTTATGCAGACGACTTTGTTCGTTTTGAGTTTAGAGATGAAAATGTTACGAGATGATACCTAGCATTGATGGAAGTGTTGTTGTTTGTAATGTTGCTGAAGATGGTTCTGATATAACTTTATTTGGTGTCATATACATTCTGTGAAGTTTATAGTTGGAAATACCGAATGGTTGAAAAAAAAAGGACAAAGACATGAGAGGAATGAGCGAATGAGAAAATAGGAAGAAATGAATGAAAGGAGAATGGAAGGCAGATTTAAAAAGTAAGACATAGAAGAATAAATTACTGTTGTATCAACGTCGGCTGTTTTGTTCGGGATTGCGTTCTTTCTATCTTCTATTTCTTATCTTTTTATTATTATTTCTTTTATTATTCAAATTTCCACAAATTTATTCTTGATATACCTACCTATTGGTTAACAACGATCCGCAGATTTTGTTGTTGTACACAATGAAAAATGTTATTGGTTCTTGGGTGACGTAATTTTTTGTAGTAGTCTGTAGTAGTGCGACATTTTAAATGAAAAGCAATAAGTTGTTTGGCTGAGTTACACAATAGTATCATAAGTATCATAACAGTGAGTTATGATATCATGATATAAGATATCACGATAACATGTTTTGGATAAATCATTAATTCTCAACTGCTCATTCATCAAGCTTTACGTAAATCCAGACATTCAATTAATCGTTCTAATCAATAAATCTTCTTATTCACCCATATATTTATTCATTCATTTATCCATTCATCCATTCATTCATCCATTAATCCATTTATTCATTCATTCATCCATTAATCCACTTATTCATTCATTTGTTCATTCTTTCATTCATTCATTCATTCATTCATTCATTCATTCATTCATTCATCCATTTGTCCTGCAATCTTGGAGTTGGTTTAGCAAAGGATCAGAGTTAATCTCAGGTAGGCAGGTGATGTTATTGCAGCATCGCCAGACACAACACATACGTCTTACTCCTGGGAATTTTCTTACATTTCTTTTTCCAATCATATTATCTTCCTTAATTTGTTTAACTTTCTAATTTACTTAACTGTGTAAGTTTGAGTGTAGCAGTGTTAAAGAAAAGGCTACTACACAGCAAATATTAGTTTTATGCCAACAATATATACGTAACGATATAGAATTCACACAATTTCCGAATAATAAACATCATCTTAGCAAACAAACAATCAGACAAACATAGAGTCATAGAGTAAAAGCACTAAATCACTTTTAACGATTAACACAACGGAAATTTGACATCTTCTGAAAGACTCGAGCAGTATAAAGAACAACAGAAAACACTGAGTTTAGCACCAACGACAACTATGTAACAATGAGACACGGCACCTGTGCATTCAACATTCAGCCATCAAATAACGAAAAAAATTCGGCGGCATTCAAGAAAAACAAAGGCTGAATTACCTACTCACTCACTCATTCATTCACTCATTTACTCACTCACCTATTCACTTTCACCCTTACACTCTATTTTTCAATCTCTCATATATATACACATATATACTCACTTATTCATAAACAGCTCACGTACTTACCTGGTTGTATCATGTTACCTGTAGATTGAAATCGAGTTACCTATTCATGCAACTTTAAAAGCAATCAAACAAATCTACATTTAAAATAACTGAGATGTAAAAATAAATTAACAGCGTGAAACAGCAATTCACATCTCTTCCTAACTTCTGAGCTATTGAGTAAAAATATCCAAAAGCTAAACACAAACAAACCAAACTATGGACATTCTAACACACACACAAACCAAGATATACACATACAGACATACACACTAATTAGCACACAAACGCAAATACAGACAACCACAAACACCCACAATTTATGTGCACTCGTCAAAGAAGCCAACAAATCAAAATAGACTTTTGATAAATAGCGGCATATCTGAGCAATCCATGTATGAGTCGAACAATGTAAGCAAACTTTTGTATTCATTCTAGCACAATAGAATTGATCTACTGGACTATCATGATCTGCATTCTATCTCTTTGTAGTTTTACTTGCATGTGTATGACTCTTTGTAGGTTTGTTTGTGTTTGTGTGTTTGTCTGGTGATGTTTTAAAATGGCTTCTGTGTTGGTAGACACAGAATGTTTGATTACAAGTGTAAATGCCTGCCAATGTATGTCTAAGTTTGTTATTAAGAATATATTACGATGTGTTGTTTAAACTTCATTTAAATTCCAACAATATGGCAAAAGCGACTGTGAATTTGACGGTGATATGAGGAAATTAACGATGAAGACGAAGACGATGATGTTATTGAAACGTTAATAATGACGCTGATAACGATGATGAAATGTTAGGGATAATAATGATCATGTTAAATTCGATCACAATTACGATAAGGATTAAGTGCTGAAAATGATGAAGATGATGGAGATGGGGAAGATGATGAAGATGACGACAGTGATGTAGATGATGGAGATGACGACAATGATGACAAGGCATGATGATGTTGATGATGTGAATGTTTACTGATACGAACAAGCAATAAACTAGCGCTGCATAACAATCGCAATGCCTCGATTAAGAACAGAAATTAAAAAATGAAAACAACATCTACTAATTCTACTGTTACTACTACCACTACTATTACTGCTGCTACTAATACGACCACAACTACTACTGCTACTGCTACGACCGCTATTACTAAGGCTACTACATCTACTGCTACTGCTACTACTACTACTACACTTCTAAACTTTATACTTTTAATGCTTTTACTAATTTTACTAACACTACAACTACAAATGATACTATTAAAAATAATAAGAAAGAGCAAATTCAACAAAAGTTATCTATTCGTTAGATGACATATCAGATTTATAGCCCAAATTTTTAGCACAAGCCAAGTCGGTCGTCACTCACAGCATTGAATAAACATTTATCCATATTTGAATACAGGTATATATTTGAATGTAATTAATCTTCAGAAATAATTTAGAATAAAATTTAATTAATATATAATGGGTCCGCAAGAACAATTTTTAGAATTATTGAGGAAAATTGCAATACATTCGCTAATATTGATCTTATCCTTAAGTGATTACTTAAGTTTTAACTCAGTTTCAGCTGTGAAATAAAATAGTTAGATGAAAAAGTTCCCAGGATTTACATTTACAAATGTATCATTACAAAAAAGTTAAGATACTATTACTACAGATGACTCATGTCACAACAATAAAAAGTTTAAAAAAAATTGTTTTTATGAATAAAATATTGTTTTACATTATAATAAAAATGATATCATATTTATAAATAAAAACCATTTATGAATGTTCGTGTATGTATTTTAGTTTGTATGTGTATGTATATTAATTTGTATATGTATGTATATTAGTTTGTATGTGTATGTACAATTAGTTTGTATGTGCATGTAGGATTAGTTTGTATGCATGCATATAAAGTAAGTATATATGTATGTTTGTATGTAAGTATGTATATTTGTATGTAATTTTTTTTATGATTGCATGTAAGTTTGTATGTTTGTTTGTTTGTATATATGCATACGTGAGCCAGCAATCATAAAAAATGTTCTGCCGTTGAAGGGAAACATGTGAAACATCAAAAAACAAAACAATGCATCATAGATGACTGCAGAACATTTATTTATTACATTACTTATTATTCATATTATTTATTATTCCTAATATTATTCATATAAATTCTTTCTTTGTATTATTATTCTTATCTGTTCAGTTTCAGTTGATGTTGCCAACTTGCATTGTATTGCGTTTCTCTATTGAAGATACACGCTATGAATTCCTATCATGCTAATCAATAAACGCTATTGTTGATGGGATATTGTAAATGTATTGCTACATGCATTTGTTTCTATGCTTATATGTATTTTTTAATCTCTGGAAGGATTTTTATTATTTTTCTGAATATTCTATTTTTTTTGGTTCAATTTTTAAGGTTTTTTTTTGAAATTTACTTATGGGTTTAAGAAAATGTTTTGAATTTAGCTTATTTATTATTAGTTTGTATTAATGTATTTGTTTGAGTAGCTAGTATATGAAGTTTTCAGCAACAATTTACAAGATATTTTTTTTCTCTCTCTCTCTCTCAAGTAAAAACCAGTTTATATTAAATTATATAAAATAATATTAAGGTTTGTAGAGTGTGTGAGTGTGTTTCATGTGTGCTCATTATGTGATCTGTTTTTTCATTCCTTTTTTTCATAATAAACAATATTTATTTTAAAACCAATTCTACTGTTTAATAATAATTAAATTATTTGAAAAAAAATTTATATAAATTTAAATTCGCATCAAAATGCTTGAGTTAATATTAGAGAGATTAGAAGTTGAAGCGAATCAATATCGAATCCAATTAGTGACAGTTAGTGGGTCAAATGCTTTTGATTTTATACGCATGTGAGTATGTATGTGTGTTTGTGTTTGTGTGTATATGTGTGTGTGGCAATGTGTGTATTTATGTGTGTTGTGTTTGTTTTATGTGTTTATATACTTCTATGTATAGGTATGTAGTTAGGCGATCAAGTTGAACATAAAATATTGAATGATTTAGTTTATATAGTTATGTTGATAATTATAAATATCAAACATTAATGAAATGCTTTTGATTTAATTGAATAAGAATTTTAACAATTACTATTCCAATTTAAAATATTAATGAATATAAATTGTCTAAATTAGTGAAATCCAAAAAATATTTAAGGCAACAAAAGACGAGAAATTTAAATACATAACAATACATAGGTTGAAATCTCATTGCATGTTAAAAGCAATGTATGGATGCTTGGATGGAGGAGAGTTTAAATTAATAATAGCCCTAGGCAGTGCAACTAATCTGTTTCATTTAAACTTTCCAATACCCTGAGGTTCATGTAAGATTTCAAAATTTGAAACAAATTTCTAATTAGACTTGAAAGATTATTTATAACTAATGTACGTACATCAAATTGATGTGGTTGGTTATTTTTGAGTTAGGATTAGGGTTTATATTATCATTTTTGAAAAATAAATAACTTGAAAAATTGCGTATAAAATAAAATATATCAAAATATATGATGATTTTTTTTGATATAATATCAATTTAATTTAATTTTTATGAAATTATCTTCAAATTCAAATAATTTACAACAAACTGTGCTGTTGTAATATTCATACCAGAACATGAAAAAAAAGGTAGGAAAAATAATTTCAACAAAGTACATGAAGGAAGTGTCAAATTACAAAAATGTAATCAAAAACGTAAAAACAATGTAAACATGTTGTAAGGAAAATGTAAACAAAATATAAACAAAAAGTTTAGTTCATCTAGTGCACATGTAGCTGATTTATGGCCCGTCTCTTATTGGATGGAATTTTTTTGATAGGCGGAGCTTACTAAAAATAATTTCATTCAGAGATGAATGATGTATATAGAATTATTATGCTCACATTGTTAATAACACAGGCGTTGTGATTCTGTTGATGTGAGTGTCACTGTATGTGAATATGCAAATTATGGAATGAGCGTTTGTAGGTTTGTCTCCATATTTTTGCTAAAATATCTGCTTTCATATTCGATAGATTAAACGTTAAGATTGTGTTTATAAAATTCAATTGGTTATAATATTATTTTTTGTAGCGCTAGATATGCCTAGGTCAGACCATGTTTAAAAACATTGCTGGGTTGAATGAATCGATAATTATTATGTGTAGCTTTTGTTTCGGAAGTTTTGAAAACTACAAATGCTTACTAGAAAATTGTTATATCTTATATCAAAACGTGATACTCTGCAGCATCAACTTGTCAGCTTTCATTTGGAATACGTCCAGTATATTTCTATTAGAAGCTCAATTGTGTTAGTTTGATACTTTCAAAATATAGTTTAAATATTCATCGCCTTATAAATCAAATCAGTATTATTTGTATCCACGAAATGCAAAATACGTTGAGATATACGTGCAAGTGAGTTATAAAATATGCAGTAAATTAAACACTTCTAACATGAAATTTTCAAAAGCACAAAGACAAACATATAACTATGTAAAAATAAAATATATAAATATAAATAAAGACCATATTTATATATAAATATGTGTCGATTATATAAATATGTGTCGATTTACAATGTGTCTTTTTAAAATTCATATGTATATTTGTTGGATTTAGACTGTCAGACTGTCAGATGTGCATTAATTGATAAAAATCACAGCATTGAATTTTTCGATTTTTCAAAATATTTCGGTTGATCAAAAAACTCAATTTTCTATTTATTTTAAACACGGACGTACACACATACAAATGCAATTTAAAAAACTTATACATAAATATACGAAAATGTATATTAGTATAAAACTATACTCATATATGCATTCAATTGAATTCATACACACGTTTTTGCATATATGTAATTTTATATATGAATTTGTATATATGTGTACATATGTATGTATGTGTATATGTGTATATATGTATATATATTCATTTCATGTGTGTGCGTGTGTACGTGCACAGTTACACGTGCGTGTGCATGCGGTAGGTATATATATATATAAATGGTAGTTGGAGAGATGAGTTGAACTGGTTGGTGCATATCTTATCTGCATAAACTCCAAATTCGTTAGACTCTATCCCAACATAGTACATTGCATGTTTAAACTGTGCATAGACATGTGGTTTAATTTCAATTTCTGTTAATTGTGAAGTTAGGAAAGTTTATTTGCGGTTATAAAGTTTTACTAGTTGGAGTATATTTATTCGTTTCAAAATGTGAAGGTTAGATTGTTGTATATTTAGTTTTAGTTCGGTTGAGTTGATATGATTTTACGCATTGAATAATGAAAGAAATGTTATTAATTATTGCGATTTAAGACATTCATTCAATTAACATTTATTTTTAGTTCCTACATTTAATAAATAGAAATTGATAAATAACACCACATTTAATTTTCAACATTATGAACAATTGAATATTTATTATTATACATATGTAATAATAAAAATTTACAAAATATTTTATAACCATAAACTCTAAAAAAATGTCATTTTAATTCTAATTAATCAAAATTAAAATAATTAAAAACGAATAAAACTCATTATGAATGATAATAATTTTACGATGACTTACTATACAAACCTAGAATGCACCGAATGTTACAATCATTATTATTGATGATAATATTATTATTTTTATTATCATTATTGTTTTTCGTTCGAATTATCTTACTGTGTTTTAAATCATTTACAATCACCATGCATTACTATATAACGTGTCATTCTTATCATTCTGATGGCTTCTCATCGCGTTTCACATTGAAATATTTTAAATTATTGACGAAAAATTCAATTTAATCTGCATTTGTTTGAAAATTTGGCAATCTCGATCGTTCAGGAAAAGGTTTGTGTTATGTTTTGTTTAATTTAAAAACTTATTTATATGATTATTCAATTGAAAATGCAAAAATTAGCGATTTAAAAGGCATAAAATAATGCAGGAAATTCTAAATATTTAATTTTAATTCAAAAACATATTCAAATATATATTTTTGAAATGGAGTCAATTTAACAATCAGCGTTTTAGATGATTAGATATATTTAGATTGAATAAATTTAAATTACTAAGTTTTTACCATTTGCAACATAACATCGTTAATAATTGCATTTTTGGAAATAAATTTTGTTACAAATTTACCTAAAATTCAAAACCAAAAAGGGCTGCATTAACTTATGCTTGATTTTAATAATGATTGACAAGTGTTTCATTATCATGCATTCTCATACAAATTATCCAGGCACACATTTACATATATTTGTGATATTCTTCAGCAACAATTCATTCATTCATTCACCATTAGCATTTGTTTTGCATTCAGTAATCTCATAATGAAATGGCGTGAATTAGTATTTTGGATACGTCTTACTAGTTCAGTCTAGGTTACTGATAGTTTCAAAATTTTAAAAAACATAAAATTTTCACCAGAATAAAAAAAAATTATTATTAAATTACTTTAAAACGTTGAACCGCTGACAAACACGCAAATTTATAAGCATGATTAACATACAACGGCTCTGAGAACAAACGCCGACATACGCGCGTATATTTCGCACAAAACATTGTTCCCTTGATTTACAGCTCCAAACTCTGAAATCATCTAATATTTCATTTCATAACTCACAGCTATAAATAAAAACTTTTCCAACAAGCCTCTTAACATTCCTATTTCAACACTTTCATTCGATCCAACTGATAAAACATGTATTGTATACTGTAAATTTTTGTTCTAACTTTTTAACGTACAACATTAGAATGTGAAACTCATTCGAAGCTTAGACTCACATACATCTACTCACACATGTGAATTGTGACAGATGCACACATTTGCATACATCCAGTCCATCCTAGCATAATGTTGCACATGAATAAATGTGCTTACTTATGAAATAACAAATCGATGTCCATGCAATTCAGTGTTTTTGGAACCTTTTTTTTTCTAGGTTTATGTTTGACTAATAAACATCTTTATTAAGTCATTTTATAAAATTGGAAGGTTCTTTAATCCAAAAACATACCTATGATTGATGAATAGACACATAGATACATACCATGACACACAAACATACTATTACATACATATTACATACATATGCATTATTGATTATACATACATAAACATAACCAGGTTTGATAGATATAATCTTAGATAGGTACATAGATACATACAAACATACAAACACATACATACATACACAAATGAATATACATACTACTCAAACATAAACAAACACATAAACATACAAACAAACAAGCACACATTCATATGTAAGTTGTAGAAGTAGTTGTAGTAAGGTGTGTATTGATTAAATGGTGTGAGGATAACATAAAAAAAAGAAAAAAGTATGAAAGAGTGAGAGAAAGAGCGAGAGAAAGGGAGAGAAAAAAAAAGTTATGACTTTTGTTTCACTACCATCTTTCTCTCTATTTTGTTACATTAATGGGAAAGCTTCTTAGGACGATATACATCGCGTGAGTTTTTCAATTTATTGATGAATAAAAACTTCACATATAAAAAGAGAGAGAGGTGGGAGAGAGAGAGAGAGAGAGAAAGGTAGAAATTAAGATAGAAAAGGTGGGAAAGCGAGGGATAATGAAATAGAGATATCAGAGATATGTTCTTTATGTGAATTATGTCAGTCGATCTATATGATGATTTATGGTTTAAAGTATTGAACGGATTGAAGTCATATTATGATATATAGGGACAAATGGAAAAAAAATTGATCTAGAAATAAGTCAAAAGCAGAAGTTTTCAATGTTTTTCAGTGAGATTTTATGAAAACCAGAGTTTATAACATAACTTCTAGTCATTACCGTTTGTTATCATTTAGTTATTATCTTCAGCGTGATGTACATTCAATCACACAATCATTTAAATCTATTCAATCTACTACCTCTTCACAATAATACCAACTCTCCAACTTAGTCATCATAACCGCCATACACAGAAGTATCTATATCTATATCTTTCTATCATATCATGATTCCATAATAATCATAATATCACTCATATAATCATGTTTTCATCTTTCAAACCTACATATTGATATATATCTAATCAAAATCATCTCATTCATCACCGTCAACATAACATCAAATTCATTCACATGAGCCGGCTAACAATATAACGTATCATTCGCCAGTCTAAAACACACATGCATAAACTCATGCAAATGATATAGATGTATATCTATATACCATACATTTTATATGATAGATATCTTCATACTATACAACATAACGCAAACATATGTACGCATTACGTTAACTAGCTTTTATATACACATACATGCACACACACACACACACACACACACACACACACACACACACACACACACACATATATATATATATATATATATATATATATTTATATATATATATATATTGGAATAAGACTGTCAGAAATAATTACATATATATATATAAACTTATACAATACATACATACAGTCTCATTCCAATATATATGAATACTTAAAGCATGCATGTAAAGTCTATGCAAGCATTTTCATCATCTTGTTTAACGTGCTTGTTAGTCATTTGTTTAGACTGTATCGATCAGGTTTTTTTGATGTTTTTGAAAATTTTGTTGGTTAAGTAGTCTGGCTTGAGAATGAAATAACTATAAGCAGTAAAATTTTAAAAATTTTCAAGTTTTTTAAATGCAAAAGTAAGGATCTATTTTGAGATTTTTACTTCTATTGAACAAAGGTTTATAGGAGAGGTTTTATTTTTGACAGATGTTATTACGAAATCAAAATGATACTAATTTATGAATGGCTGTGCTGTAAAGTAGTGTAGGTATATGAGAAAAAAATACTGCTTAGAATGAAAAAGTAGCCATTTAGATAGTAGCGTTACTTTAGCTGGTTACATTGAAATTGTTGCGAGTTAAGCAAGCAAACGTTTTCAACAATGCCATGGTAACAGAATTAATATGACGTGGCAAACATGTGCATTTGATATGATTCATATTTACTAAGTATATAAGCTCTACCAATACAACACACATGTGAGATTATACAACAACAAATACACATATTGTATGGATACAACACACAACAACAACAGCATACAACAGCACACCATAACACACAGCATCATACAACAACACAAAACAACAAACAACAACAACATGCAACACAACAACAACTGCAACGCGAGCACATCTCCAAGTGTGATGAACCTTGTAGAAATAGAATTTCCTTTTGAAAGCCAGTGCAAATTTAATGTCGGCCTCCATCTAATAGGACTCTGAAACGTCTATGTAGACATTTTTGCTACATTCTACTTGCAATGCACACAATTACGAATATACCTTTGTGGCAAATTAGGTTGAAGTTCTGCGGTTTATATTTTCAATACTTTTTCCCAATTATATATATTATTAAATTTTCAAATCAAAAGTTTGAAATTTAAAATGGCAAATTTAGATTTTATGGAAAATTGTAATCCTCAAAGCTTCAAGAGAATTGAATATATTTGCTATATTTTCATTCCAGTGCGTTAAACAAAAAACAGGCTTCGTGGTTTTTAAATGATAACCAGCTTCACTAATCAATTTTACTGAATAATTTGCTAAAAAAAACTTTTAGAAAATTTTAATGAAATAATTATCCGCGACATAAAAAAAAACTTTTGAAATATTGCAAGTGCAAGTGAAAAATTGCAAGTAATCCCAAGAAAATGTTATGTGGTGTGAGTAATTAAAATGATAAGGAACGCCTGAACTGACGCACGAAATCCATATAAACATTCAACATTCCCACTGTCAAACTCAACAAGATTTTATGCCTTTGAAGCGTGAATCTAATGCTTATGCGTATGTTACACTTGCTAATTGACTGACTTTCAGTCGGGCATTCTTCGCACGTTCTGTTAAAAAAAAGAGGAAAAAGAATTATTTGACAATTTAATGTTAACCATTGTTTTTTAATTATTTGAAAATTAATGATTAAAACGTTACGTTAATTTTATTGCAGGTTGACAGCCAGAAAGTGAAGATTATCAACATCTATTGTGGAAAAAATTTTTGAACAATTTGTAATTATTTGGCGAATTATTGAAAATGATGATGGAAACGGGCAATTCATTCTTCGGGTCATTTCATCATCCTTATCAATCGTTCGGATCAGCAAACGGCCACAACAACACCAGCAGCATGATGTTCAGCAACTTTCCACCCAGCAACAACATGCTCCAATCATCATCCGGTCCGTCTTTTTCCGGATTTTCCGCTGACGTCATCGGAAGAAGATCGTTCGTTCCACCACCTCATCCATCGTCACTCGGACTCTCAGGCGGAAGTTCCTCATTGAATCACGGAAATGGAGGATCATTTTTCAACGGATGGAGTAGCGGCTATGGAGGCGGCGGCATGGTTGGCAGCAGCAGTGGAGGTCCTGCGTTCATGGGAGCCAACCAGTCCCTTTTGAATTCCGATTCTATCATTCCGTCAACATCCACACCACCATCTTCTTTCTCAAATTTAAACAACTCTCACCACCAGCAGCACCAACCACAACAGCAACATCAACAACAGCAGCAGCAACAGTCTCAGCAACAAACACTACAGACTTCGCAGCATCATCAGCAACAACAACAGCTATCGAGTTTGAGTTCGAGGTCATCGTCGTCATCGGTTGGCAACAACCACAGCAGCAACAACAACAACCACAACAGCAGCAACATACCGAGCAGTTCAACAACAACAATATCGTCATCTTCAACAAGTTCACAACCACTCCATCACAATCATTACACTTCGAATCAACAGCAGCAACAGTCGCAGCAACAACAATCGCAACAACAAACTCAACAACAGTCAACAAACTACAACAATTTTTCGCCATACGGCAGTCCACTGCACAACAACAACCTTGCATCACCATCATCCGGTCTCAACAACTCTTCCGGATCGTCAACTATATCCGGTCACAACAACTTTTTCAACAACAACAATCTCTTAACGACGAACAACAACGCCAACAACATGTTCAAACCCTCATCTCTCGGATACAGCCCCTTCTCGTCGGCCGATCTACCGCCCCCGCCACCATTCGGACACCACCACAACCACCCACTGAATCAACTCTCAAACTTGTACGTGGGCGACATGTACCACCACCATCCACACCACCACAGTTCCCATCACGGTGGTGGTGTCATACCTCCTGCAACGGGCAGGTTGTTTTCAAGCGAGCTGGCCGCACTACCACTTCCATCGAGACTGGACAGCATGCCGATGACCTACCTCAATGATTTAGCTACTCAGTCCGCAGCAGGTTAGCCGAGATATTTCTATTTAAATCATTACTTCATTCAATTAACTCAATTTATATATTTAAAACCTCTTTATTTCCGAGAATTTGAAGTTAAGTTTCGTGATTAGGTTTGTTTTTGCGATGTGTTAGTATTTATTTTGTACCACAAACTCATATGCAATCATCATTAGTTTTAAAGCGGAGTAAGCCACATCCTACTTTTCCGACATCAATTAAAATTCAGTCTCTAAAGTTTGTGAAATGAAAATTGAAAAAAACAACTTTAATATTATTTTTTAAGTAATTAAGTCAAAAATTCTATCCCCAAATTACATTTAAATTATTACTGCCGTTGTTTGAACAAATTCATATATACGAACAAAAAAAGTTGAAGTAATTCAGTAAGTCTGTGGTTAGTGATTTATATCTATCTTCAAGTGCATACTTATTTGTCAATATGCCTGAAGCAATTATAATATTTCACTAAAAATTATTCAAGATAACATTTGAGATAGCATCAAAACGATTGATATTTATAATCAATCAAACTCAACACTAGATTGAATATGTAAGGTGTAAAGTACCGAATACTGAAAATGTAACCTTGATTAGTAGTGATTTTCATTTAAATACAAATTAATACTATTGGCAGTAATTGATTCTATTTAACATTGTAAGTATACTTATTCACATGATGGTTGTTGTCAAGGGAAAGTGGTTCGGTTATGATCTATTACGAATCGAAGTATCCCGCAGTCAACTCTCATTAGAGTGCACAGTTAGTGCGATATGTTGTCTGCGAACTGGAATGTAATTAAACTACATTTCATATCTAGGTTATATTGTGAGTCAGTGAAAATTACGTTGAAAATGTAAAAATAATAATAAAAAAAAAAATTGACGTATATTCTGTTATTTTCAATAATTTTTATATTTAAAAAGGTTTTGCAAGAACAAAGTTTATAAATGGTTTATTTAAATAAAGTTTTAAATTCAAATCGTTTTTACTATGATATATTTAACACTTTGTTTCAAAAAGTTGAATCATAAAATTAGAAAAAACATTACCATACATCATCATTTTGTTTCCAAGTTAAGCATGCAGAAATTTTTTTTTTAAAAATGAACTACATGATAATTTAATAAATTTAAACGTTAAATAATAAAAAAAACATTTTTATCAACTTGAAAACAGAACAAGCGAGGCAACGAAAAAAACGAAAACCCTACACGAGATATCAAACAATGGTCCTGGAGAACGAGTTCGTCAGTAACTCGTACATCACACGGCAGAAGCGCTGGGAGATATCCTGCAAACTGCACCTCTCCGAGCGTCAGGTAAAAGTTTGGTTTCAAAACAGAAGAATGAAGAGGAAAAAACTAAATGACAGGGCAACGACGATGACCAAGGAGCCGAAAGACACGCCGCACTCCAGTTCATCCAACCATCACGACAATCAGCTGGACAAGAGCGATCTCGATATGGATGACTCCATGTGAAATGTAAATTGTTGACAAAAAACAATTTTTCTTATAAATTTGTTTTTCATTTTCATATTCATTTTTGACGATTACGATTACATTGCATTTTTATTTATCAATTAATTATCGTGATGGTTATATCAAAATAAAAATTATTTACTATAAGTTAGCAACTTTTTTTTATTTAGCGTGTATTGAAATTAAATTAAGCAAGTATAAATTTATAAATTAATTTTTTTTTGTTTCCACACGTACTAAATACACATTTTAAAATTATTATACTACGAATTTAAAAAATTTTTGTAACTTATAATCTGTAGTAAGCGTTCCCCGTTAACGTAGTTTAAATGTTGTTCTCGTTACTACATCGTCATCTGTAGTTTTTGTACTTTCATCTCATTTCATCATAATAATTATCATTATAAATAATGTTTAAACAATTAAATTTAAAAAATAATTTTAAAAACAGAATATATTAATTAAAAAATAACATTATATAATGTCATAAACATTTGTTAAAAAATTTAAACTACAAGTAAACCACAGATATAATATCAGAGATAAAACTAATATTAATATTGAACATTAAACATTAAAAAATGTAATCATTTAATTTAGATTTTTATGTTCTCAAACAACTATAAGGTAGAGAAATGAATAATTCTTTAATTAAATATTATTCCTGTAAATATATAAGACGTCTGATTGGAGCTAAACCCTGTACTCAACAGTTCATTAATTACATGAACATTGAATAGAAATTAATTATTAAAAGGCTCCTATATATGTGTATCTTTACACATATATAGGAGCCTTACACACACAAACACACATGTATATATATTATATATTTTATATGTATATATCACAATAATGTATTTATACATATGTATAAATAGTTGTTTATAATCACACAAACACATATTTGTGTGTATATTTATATGCACATACACAGATATAAAAACATGTTGATATATAATTAATTTTTGTGCAATAAAAAACTTTAAATGCAGACAAACTAATGCTATGTATGTGTGTGTGTTTATTTATGTATGTGTATGTTGGTAATAGACCATAATTTTTACAATATTCTATAAATTCTACCAAATGTTTGGCGTTAATATGTTTGTAGTTCGTTTTTTCGATTTTTCTCACTAAAGTTTTTTGGTGAACGTTTAGTTATTAAAATCAAAATA